AAATTCGTTTTCTAGATCAGGTGTAATTTGCATGTCGCATACGTATGTTTACCAGCCTCGAGTCTGCTGCGAAAGAATTCAGAAGGCTGTGGGCTTGAATGTACAGACACGGAGCTAGGCTCTAGTATTTATTTATCTTACTTTTTATATTTTCTCGTAAAGGGAGAGGAATCCTGAGATTTGGAATCCAAGATTGGGACTTGCTTGCTGATGATATTGCCGTGCTGGTTATATCAAGGCTTGGGAGTGCCTGAGTCGGGATGGAGCATGAGTCCTTTCTTTATACGCGGTCGGAAGAATCCTGCCCTCCGAACAGCATCAACGGCCCCCAGACCCCGGGGTATGTATCTCTATCTCGACCGCTCACCGGTAGATGATATCGACGTCAGCGATCTTGCGCAAGTGCTCCCTGATCTTCGGCTCGCCGATGTTATTCTCCGTCACGATCTGATCGAAAGAATGACACCCGTTCAGGTACTTCAGCATGAGATCCGCACCGCCCACCTTGTTCCTCCCCGTGACCAGTGATTTCACGTAGGCCGGCGAGACGGCGTACTTGTGGACGCGGTAGATGAGTCCCTTGATGATGCCGAATTGGATGAAGCGTCGGACGTCGACAAAATTGAGGACGGGAAAGCCTTGATCGATGTGCAGCTTCAGCCATTCCTTGACGGTCCGAGAGGTCGCGAGCGAGGTGAACAGGCGGCAGAGGTAGAAGTTCGGCAGGCGCGGTCCGTTGATGTACACGTAGTTGGCACACTCGTCCTGCAGGCCGTCTCTGTCCGCTACGAAGTCGTTGACGCCCGGCGTCGGGGCGTATATATTGCTGAAGAGAAACAGATCGAGCAGCAGGATCGAGTCGTAGTACAGCAAGTGTTGGAGGGCGATTTTGGTCAGGTCGAGGGCGACGTCGGCGTCGTGGGCGATGCGCCGGACGTCTTTGATGCCGTCGATTTGCTGGATCACTTTCTTCATGGTCAGGTCCCAGGTGTCGTCGATGATCACGGAGAATTTCATGGTGGAGATGGGGACGTGCCAGGATTTGACGGGGGGTGGGTGTCTGTGGGCGGGGAAGAGCTTCATGTTGATTGTATTTGCATCATCTGTATTCTCTCTCCATCAGTATTGATATATATTGGAGCAAGGGAGCAGAGGGGACGAACCAACGGGTATCATGCACTCGTTATAATTATTCAAATCCTCCTTGATGATCTCGATCAAAGCCGCAATGGATCTCCTCTCCTGCGCATTCACATTCAAGCTCGAAGTCGCCACACCCTCCTGACTCAGATACTCATTCTGGATCTCCATCTCGGTAAACGTGGTCGCGAGCCTGCGCACCACAGCTTCATAAGGCGTCTTGTCGACCTCGACGCCGATGACGATACAGAAGTTGAACATGAACTCATTGCGCGCGTACTTTTCATCTTGAATGCAGACCGGGTGGCCGAGGATGCGGTACTTGTTCTCCGGACAGCAGATGGTGACGAAGCGGTTGCAGAAGCCTTGACGGGGGATGATGTACTCAGCGAGGACTTCGAAATCGAAGAGCCGGGCTTTATCAACGTCTGGCTCGGCGACGATGCAGCCTGGGGGGCTTTGGTGCACGACTTTTGTCCCTGTTTGATATGTTAAGAGATGTACGTACGTGCACAGGAGGAGGCTGATGAGCCAGCCATACATACCTTTCTCGGAAAGAAACCGAGCGAAAAAGATGCCCTGAATCATTGTGATTTCTGACCTACCCCCGAAATCTCAAATCTTTGCTTTATGAGAAGCACGTAGTTCATATCAAGTCCATAAATACAATCTCAATGGTAACATGTATAGCCCAGGTGAGAGAGATCAGGTGATGTCCGAGGTCGGCGTGATCCGGCCCGAAGCATGGTCTTGATTGGCCAGCTTGACGACAGCAATCTCTTCGCTTCAACGACATCCCAACAGATAAAATATAAACATATATATTAGTACTCATGTATTGTATATAATATATAGTACGACGGTTCCCTGCTTTATACCGTTCATCTCTTTCTTTTGCGCTTACTCGGTTTGATTAGCCACACTGCTAGATTTCTCAGTCTTTTCTGATGGTCACAGGGAAGGTATTCGTCTCTCACAGGTAACGTAGACCGAGGTATATCGATTCACTTCATAGGGAATCTATAGATATATCGGCTTGTTGGCGTTTTGTCTTATTTCTTGAGACCTCCGTTCGTGTTAAACTCCACAGGTGGATGGGGAGTGTTACAGGTGTGGGGGACGAGTTCTGGGGCCTTTGCACATAAATGCAACCTCAAACCTCACCTCCTTGCCAGCTACGCATGCAATGGAGCTTCCCAATCTCCGCAGGGCCCCGTCCTACCATACGATACTCGAGGCACTGAAAGACCTCCAAATCAATCCAGCAACTTGGGACGATGCTTCTTTGGCTGAGGTAGACAAGTCCGCACACGATGCGTCGGTCAACATCTTCCTGATGTCAGTCATCACCAGCGAGCTCGATTGGCTCACAGAAATCAAGACCGATGCTGGTAGAAACCTCCCGGCCGATGATCAGAAAGAGGTTTTGATCCAAGAAGCTAGCAAGAGGGTTGCTGAGCGATGTGGTCGATCAGGTGGGCTCCCTCTTTTCACCAAATCATGCCCGGCGTGTTGATCAAGTTAGCTGCTGGCGAAATGACAAGGACATGGGTCATTCCCGAGTCGTTGGAGAACCCCGAAATCGGCTTGGACCTTCGTGAGCCTCCTCTCACTGGTGATATGCTGGGTCTGAAGACCTGGGGGACCTCGTATGTCATCTCGAAGAAGCTGGAGTACATCGGAAATGAGTTCCTCAGCGAGCTGGTAACTAAATCAGAGGGTGGCTCTCGAGTTCTAGAACTGGGTGCTGGTACTGGTCTGGTAAGACGACTCTTGAGGCACTTCGACATCGAAGGCCCTCGCCTTCTCCCACGTGACTCTGATACTATTGTATGAGCGGGTGCTGAATTTTCAGGTTGGCATGGCTGCGGCGGCAATCTGGAGTACCAGTGTTGTGCTTACAGACTTGGAAGAGATTCAGGAGAACCTGCTCTTCAACATTGAAAAAAACAAAGAAACAATTGAAAGCATGGGCGGCCACATCTCGGGTGCTGTACTGGACTGGACGAAGCCAAATGAAGCACTATCATTGTTGCCGTCCAAGGAGTTCGAGGTATAGAGGCTCCTTTTCACTGAGTCGTTCCAACTAACCTTTGCAGATCATCATAGCTGCAGATCCTATGTACGATCGCGAACATCCCGGCCTAGTCGCCCAAATGGTCAGTATGTTCTTGAAGAAGGGCACACAATCGAGGGTTCTTACAGCAATACCGCTACGAGACGATCATACCAAGAGGATGGCTTTTGGGTTTACAGAGATTATGGTGAGTAACGGATTCTGTGTGATTCATCAGGAATTGGAAATTTTCAAGGATGATTGGCAAGACAGAGATGCAGTCAAAGTCCAGTGGACTATTTGGCGCCGGGTCGACTGCAGCGGTACTGTTAACAAACAATTATTTTGAATCCCAAGTTTCCTGATTTCCACGAGCGTGAATGGACTAGCGGGTAAGCGATTGCGAGACTTTCTCTATATTCTGAAGTTATGAATGGACAATAGGAATTCAAAAGGGGTGGAGATAATTCCAATATTGCTCAAATCTATCAAGCGCGAAAATTGTCGTCCCTCCTGTTAGGTTTGACTTCGTCTGCATATAGCCTGAAATATTTTCCTCTTTCCTATCGAGTCATTCATCGCCGCCACCTCCTATGCCTCTTGGCTCAGTGGATTTCTCACAAAAACAATGTCCTTAACCTTAGTATGGCATGCATCATTGTCAGCGCCGGACTCTTTGCTATCTATCTTACTACATTTCTTGCGCAAGTTGTCTCGTCTTTCTATATTATTGCAGCACCCGCAACTCTGTTTTCTCCCTCCGAAAAATGTACTTCATCTGGAGGGTGCTCTGTCACCATTCTTCTTGCCGTCACGATTACTGTGAAATTCGAGTCAAGAAAGTGAATCGACGCGGTCTCCGGCTGGTCTCGTGATTCCTATACTAGTTGGTCTCGTGAGCTCTACATTAGCTGTTCCGGGCTATATTAGCGGCTCAAGTGCTTTTATTTTTCTCAATCACAACCACTTCGATTCCTCAATCACCATTACCTCCTCGTCCTCATTAACAACCAACAACCCATAACCAACCACTAAGAACGTACAATCATAACCGCGCTCTTGCACAAACCAACTCGACCTTCACAATAATATTTTAATACGATAACACGATCTTTGTCATCGATCTTGCTTGCTCTTGAGCTTCCTGCGATCCTACGCCTTTACGTGGTTTTTCGCATACACCTCATTTGCACGAACCTTGTCTTCGATCTACCTTCCGACCTCAATACGATAGACTGCTTTGAGTACGCGCGACGGACTTCGGCTACGGCGCTTTCTTTCTGGTAATCCTCGAGATATCTTACACTTCGCCGCACCCCGCAACTATGACTGGAACAAACAGGTGGTCAGATGAACAGAAGAACTTTGTCCGCAATCTGAAGGCAACAGGCGCAGACAACTCAAAAATCATCGAGGCTTGTAATAGTATGTGGCCTCGCAATGTTGGTGATAAAAATTGGCGTCCGGCTACAATTGCATATATATGGGCAGGGCGCCATGAGATTTCCAAGTAAGTGATATACCGGCTCACAGGCTTCTTTATCCTTTAGAGCTAATAATGCAAAGATCTGGGAAGGGGCCCATATCTAGTAGTCGGACGTCGATGCAACCGGCTCTACCAGCCCAGCATGCACCCACTCGGATCACGAAGCCAGCCTCTAATGAATATCATGGGCGACATCCATCCGCAAGTCCAGCTGGTATAGATACTTTTTCTCCATCTGCGGCTCCAGGCCACCTCCACAATGACAACCATGAGCGGCATCTATCAGTAATTCCAGCTGGTATGGATGGTTATCCTCCATCTACGGCTCCTGGCCAAATGTACAACAATAACTATGGGCGCTTCCTATCAGCAAGTCCAGCTGGTATGAATACTTATCTTCCACCTGCGGCTGCTGGCCAACTCCATAATAATGACCATGGCCGCCATCATTCCGCAAGTTCAGCTGATATGAATGGTTATCCTCCATCTACGGCTCCTGGCCAATTCCACAGCAACAACTATGAAAGCCATCCATCAGCAATCCAGCTGGTATGAATGGTTATCTTCCGCCTGCGGCTCCTGGCCAAATGTACAACAATAACTATGACCACCATCTATCCGTAAGTCCAGCTGGTTTGAATGGTTCTTTTCCACCTGCGGCTCATAGCCAAGTCTATAACAATGACTATGGGCACCATCCATCAGCAATTCCAGCTGTTATGGATAGTTCTCGTCGTCAACCTGCTGTTCAGGCGGGTATGCCTGCCGGTAATTCGGGTTTTACGAATGCCTCTTTCAGTGAGACTATTCACCCTGGCCGATTTGTTGGTACTTGGCCCCGTCCCGCGCCACCCATGGGTCCTGCTACTTCTCAGGCAGCTCCACAGGTCGCTTGGAATAACATGGCAAGCCCCCAAGGTTACCCACAAACACTCAACGGTGCGACCAACTACCATTTCGTGCCTTCAGCCTACGCGCCTCCGGCCGGCCCAATTTCGAAGCACGAGTGTATCCCTGGTCATACATACCACTCGGCCTCTGCACCTCCAAACCACCTGTCCCCCCTTGAATCCGTCTCTCCCACAGCCCCTGCCGGTACGGACGGAAATCAAACTGGCGTAACCCCCTCCAAGAAGCCGCTCATCATCGAACTCCATAACCCGACCATCAACCCCGAATTCATCCTCGCGGCGGGGGGTCGTGAGCCCTGGAAATTCGTGGAGCAACAACAACAACTTGACCAGGCCAAGATCTGGGAAGCCCGATCTCAAGACCAGCAAGTCATTCTCAAGATCTACAATCCAGTGTTCACCACGGCGGACGCAGCCACTTTCGCTGCTCCAACAACCCACGACCTACTGAATACCGCTGCTTCGGCTTCGGCTTCGACCGCAACCGACACCTCTGCTTCTCCTACTCCTAGCCAGCGAACCGATACAGCGAGGTCGAAACAGACGGACGACGACTCCTCTCCGAGCAACTCCCCACCGCCTCCTCCTACCCCCCCGCCGCAGCACTATATCGCGTCTTCGTCATCCGTCTCCTTCCTCCCTCAGATAACAAGTCCAACTCCCAACCTCTCCACATCCTCGACACAAGACCCGCCGCCCCCGCCCCCGCCCCCGTCCCCGTCCTCATCCCCAGCTCTAGCTCCAGCACCGCTCACCGACTGGAACTCCCTCACAGACGCAGAATACTGGAAACGCGTCGACGCCCTCGACGCCCTCGACGCCCTCAAAGCCCAAGAACTCAACGCCATCTCCGCCCCCGCCACCGACACGCGCGAAGTAGAGTGGCGCGCCCAGCTAGATCAGGCTATATCCAAGCCGCAGAACTTCGGCTACCGATCAGACGATATGGAGTTTAGCTGGGAGATCGATGGGGATCCTGATCAGGATGGTCCTGGGTATGGGAAAATTGTGGAGAGGAGGAGATGGATGGAGGAGGAGGAGGAGGAGGAGGAGGAGGTAAAGGGAGGGGAAGGGGAGGTACGCGAAGGGGAAGGGCCGAAGTATGATATTGAGATGAATGAGGTTGTGAAGCCGGTTTGGTATCAGGCGGATGAGGTGCGAAATGCATGATATCGAGGTGTGCTCGGATTGGGTTACCAGAGTCCAGGGAGGAGAGGATAAGAGAGAGAGGCCGTCCTGGTGCTACATGTTTCGGGAGGGCATACGTACGGGAGATAGATGGACGGAGGTGGTATGGTATGGCAGCAGATGCGGCTTACCGGAAAGGGGAGAGATGGTGATGTTGGAGCTCGGAGCCTGAAGGATAGATATCACATTATGGATACGGTCGGCGCTTCCTCAGTACAGAGATGGAATTTATCTTTTCTTCTTTTCTGTCTTTTGGCATCTGCGAGCATTGCGGCATGGCTCTTTCTCTCAGGCTACGTAGTAGCGTAGTAGAATTCTAGAGAGAAAGACATTTTACCCACCTACGTAGTCTTGGCGTTATACCAGTTTGCTTGTACTCAAATCCTCCTACATACCCCAAGCGCCACCACTAGGTAGGTACGTGTGTGGGGGGGGCTGGCTGGCTCTTCTTTCCTATATATGTGGCTAAAACACTACCTACGCTATAGCTGATACTTCGTATACTTATCTCGAATAGATAAGGTAGCAGGTAGCACGTAGCAAGTAACGAAGAAGAAACTTCAAGCCGGGGCTGATTAGGTGAGGTAAGCTTATACTTATACAAAATAACGCCTTTGAGTAGAAACATAAATATAAATATATAGGTATATATATATATATACTTGGTATAGCTATACACATCCTTTACAATCATCACCTTTCGCAGTAACTAATCCAAACCTTCCTCTATCCTTCTTATCCCATTAATTTTTTTTTAAAAAAAAAAATTCCTCGTCACTAATCAACTCTCGCAGAAAAATTATAAACAAAAATCTATCTATCTATCTACTCTAGAATTCGAAATCCAGTAGTGTCGAGATTCAGCGCCGGTCATTCACTCGCTCACCTCTTCGCTTCTCCTTGCTCACGCGCACACAAGGAGAAAAAAAAATTATAGGTACTTTGTAGGAGCCAACTCCGCGACCACTTCCATCAACGGCGAGGAATGGCATGGTGGTTTAGTGGCTAGGAGCCGCTGGCCGCTTCCAAGTACACCTGTTTGATAACAACGAAAAACCTATTCAGTTAGGTTTGTAGACTGGAACCTCTTAATCCCACTCCCATGGATTTGAGTTTCCAGTTGAGTTTTGCCAAAATTGTGTAAAAAAAAAAAAGAAGAATCCGTTCATTTTTTTTTTCAAGAAGGAGGGATTGTTGTTGTTATTATTGTATTTATTTACGTCGGGCGGGTAGCAGGCGAAGCCTGCCGCCCTGGGACCTCCCATGGGGTATGGCGACGTGCTAAGCTAAGGAGTTACATACAAGAAAGCCTCAGAAAGCAATTCAAAGTGCTGCAGCGAGAGCTGCTGTCGTCTGCGCCCTTCCTCTACGGATAGGATGGATCACAGTGAGAGGAAACAGCTATCTCTCGTCAAGGGAAAAGCACGAACGAGAGTCAGGCAGGTACAGACTGCTGTAGCCAGCTTATAGCGTGGCTTTGCGAGTCGCGTAGCGACCAGTGTCAAGGCCGGACCGGAGTCGGCCGAGAAGCACGATGTGCAGAGAAAACCCAGAACAGATTTAGAAGGAGGGACGGAGGGAGGGGGTTTCTTTTCGATTCTATGGCTGATTACTGTGCAGTACTGGACTATATTGCATGCTGTCCATGACGACGGCGACGGTGAAGGTCCCCGGCGCGAGGCGCGCGACGACCTCGTTGATCTCGTCCGTGTGGATGCGCAGGCCGGCGAAGGCCGTGGGACACGAGAGCTTGACGTGCGACTTGGGCGCGAGGTAGTTTGAGTAGCAGCGTTGCGAGTAGCTGCCTTACAGGCAGACTAGGTAGTAGGGGTTGTCAACGCCGATGAGGGAGGTGTTTATTACGTGATCGAGGGTTTGCACCACTGAGGGGGAGATAGATTAGTCTTTCATTTGAATTTCTCTTGCGGAGAAATGGAGGATGGTCCTGAGAATAAAATGGGGCCCGAAGCAGAAAATAAAAGGGTGGGGGGAGGAAGTTCCAGTGGTTACTGTATTCCCACACAGCTTCGCCATTACTCGAGTGAAGCTCTTTGTCTGAATGTGCCAACGGACTCGCGTCTCCCTTTCCTTCGGCTATCGTCTCGGATGCCAAGTGGTCTGCCTCCAGCATGGCAAGCTGGTTATGCGGCACACTGAGGGCAGCCCACAGGAACTTCTTCTATGAGGCGACCAGATAGGTGAAGACGCGGGACATGATGATGGGGCGTATTTTGGTGTTGTAGATCTCACGCTGCTCGTTCAGCGTCTTGGCTTTCAACAGCGCAGCGATCTGGGAGTTGAATCGGATGGTAGTGACCAGCAGGCGGATGATTCGGATAGCGTGCCGTGAGCCTCCAGCTTCATACAATCCTTTCCCGCGGGTGGAGCTGAAGACGTGGGTGTTGGTCAGCCAATACTGGAATGCTCGAGATGACATGTGAGGCGAGAGACGGGAGATCAGCAGTTGGGGGAAGTTGGGATGTTTGCCGGATCCTAACAATTTCCGGACATCGGCGTAGGAGAGAGCATTGAATGCCGCGACCTTTAGCTCAAGGAGGTGGTTCTGGTAGGGGCTCGGGTCGACAGCGTGGATCCGGGCTGGGGAGGCCAAGGCGTAGGAGAGGATGTTGTCACCCGCTGATGTGATGGTGAGGACGAAATCTTGGGATGTGAGTTTCAGGAGGCGGTGGTCAACGCGGGTGTCTTCCTAAGTGAAGGCGTAGATGAACTCGTGGCCGAATTCTGTATGTTATTTCAGCTGTCCATCGTAATGGATTCTCCAGTGGTGATTTTGGCGGAAAATTGAGAGGAAGGAAGACTGGCGGAGAAGTTAATGACGGCAGCTTCGTAGGCCTTTGAACGCAGCTCTAAAGGCGTGGATATCTCCATTATGTGTGCCCCTTCCGTGGATCCATAGATCATCATCGTCGTAGCTTGGACCAGTATTGACTCGATTAGCCAGTCTACCTATCATGGACGCACATGGGCAGCAGCTTGTTAGCAGTCTTGCAGCGGCATCTCCATCCTAGCTTGGAGCTCCGCAGCGACACGGATGGTTGTGCATTTATTTGATGGACCGAGTGAAGCTTTTTCACCGCACAGCCATCTCTCATTGGCCCGTCTTGAACAGCACAGTTAAGCGTCTTCTGGAGCGAAGAGTATAGGGAGAGAAATGTGGGCGAAAGCATTGGTATTTTGATGTTCTGGTGTTTTGGTGTTTTAAAAAGCTGAAGATGGGATGTCGTTGAGCTTGAATTTGCTTGATCAATTGGATTGGAGCGGCCAATGCAGGTTCGGCATGAACCCACGCTCGATGTTGGCTGGCTGCTGGATTGTGAACTTTTTGACTTTCGAGTGACAAGGACTTGAGAAGAAGGTCGATCTTCTTCCGACATCCTCCTCGCACTTGGTCTCTAATTGCGTAGAATTTTTTGAATATATGGAGAAGGACAGCTCAACTGATTTGATAGCTGCGAGGGTATAAAGAGAGACGTCCTCACGAGCTGGCGGAAAGATTTGTTTCCAGAATCAGGAATATTACTCAATTTCTCAAAAAAAAGAACTCTTGGTCTCCACCGACTCGGGCCAACGCCAGTCACATATGACCCTGTCAATTTTTCGTACGCCAAACTCCACACAGTGATTCCCGCGTATAGCTGTACAGCGCTACTCATCCTCGTCAGACTGGAACCCTGCCTCCGAGTCTTCCTCCGAGTCTTCCTCGGCATCTTCCATTTCCTCGTCGCTCCCCACGTTCCTCTCCTTCTCGCGGTCCAGCTTTCGCTTCCGGTCCTCCTCTCTCCGTCCCTCTTCCAGAAGCCTAGCCTTTTCCTCGCGTTGCTTTCGCTGTCCGGACACAAATGCTCCCAGAGGAGTCTTCTCCCACTCGAAGCCCTTGAGGAAATTGTCGACGCCAGCCCTATTGTTCGGCGCAAATTCGACCTTGGCCCGCTTGCCCTCGATGAACTTGGCGTTTGCTTCAACTTTCTGCAGCAGGAGGACGAAGGCAGAATTGACCTTGTTGTTCTTGTTTCCCGTCGCCTTGTTGCTCGCATCCTTCAACCAGCGCTTCAGCATTACTACTACTGGTAAGGCGAGTTCGGGAAAGGCGATGTTGGTAGACCAGAGGACAAAAAATTCGGAGAGGAGCTCGCAGACTTGCTCGCCAACGCCGTCTTGGTATACTCGCGTACGAAGGTATGACTTCTGTGCCTTGTAATTGGAGGTGAAGTCTAGACCCTTGAGCGTGCTAGCCTTGGGGGGTTTCTTCATCTCAGCCGAGTTGAGGACTTCAAGTAATGCCGATGCTAAAGGAATATATGTGCCGGTTGCGCGGGATAGTCTGAGAAGCGATCGCATTAGGTGGAAGCGCAGAGGGAAGTAGGTAGAAGTTGGGATTAGGCGCATAGCTCCGAGTGTAACTTGCACAGTCGGGTAGATCAGGGACCGCAGCTCGGATTCCTTGCCATTCTCGGCTTCCTTCACAGGGCTGCAGTGTTCCGACAGGACGCAAGACCAGAAGTCCAGAGAATGCACGTATTGCCAGTTGTAGACCGTCTTGTACGATTCTTGCTGGTTGTTCGTGATGCTGCTTCTGAGATGAATGGCGAGTTGGCGAATAAAAGTGAACCCAGTAGCGTATCCGACACCTGTATCAATGCCCCAGAGCTCCGCCGCTGAATTTTTCATTAAGTTGATACCTTGGATGGTGTGTACGGTTGTACTTCGGCTACCCTTGATCAATCCCTGGTAGACAGTTTTCAGAACGGCTTCTCGCAAGCCTGGATCTCCAATCACTGTTAATCTTCGCAGGACCAAGAACGCCGTGATACGCGTAGCTTCGTCGCTTGAAACATCTGACCAGATATTGACAACAGTCTTGACAATATTTTTGAGGACCTTCTTGAACGAGAGCAGATATGGGAGAAGCGGGGTGACCGAAGAAAGCGCGAGCTTGAGTGTCGAAGCATCGGACAGAACGGTAAGAAGGTGATGTATGGAGGATGTATAGGATTTGAGGAGGGCGGTCAGGGTCTTGAACTTCTTCGAATCTGTTGAGACTCGGACCTTTCCAGCGGCTGTCTCTTTGACGGGTAGATGATGGTTGAGGACCTCGGGGACGTATTTGAGGGCCGTGACCAGCAACTCATGGTAGACTTCGGAGTTTGAGATGGTATATTTGTACTCCTTGCCATCATCCTCATTGACATGTGCAGCTGCTCTAAATGCAAGTACAACTTGTCGCATTGCCCGTAGCGAGTACTGGTCCTTCATTCCCTTTGTCCATTTTTCTACCATCTCTTTCGTGAGGTCTGAAGCATCTTCAGCTTCTGATGCGGAGGCATCGTTCTCTTGGACTTCCTCGACTACAATCTTCTTCTTGGACTTCTTCTGTTTCTTCTTTGGCTGCTCGTCCTCGCTCCCACTCAGCGCATCGACCTCCGAGAGATTATCATCATCGTCGAAATCGAGAGCCTCGGGGTCGTTCTCCTTCAAATATTTGTAGAAATCTGGGTCTTTGCTTGCCAATGCCTCCATAGCACTTTTGCTCATCCCAACATCGTCTTCGGCCTCACTCCCCTCATCACTATCGCTCATGACAGGCGCCTCCTCAAGCTCGGCCTCCGAAGAGTCAGAGTCATCGTCACCCTCCACCTCAGGCTCGGATCGTTTCCTCTTTCCCAATTTCTCCGTCGCAGCTTTCTTGTTCGATTTCTTCGCAAGCTTTTCCGGGATCTCGAACCCGCCTTGAAAGAAGTCGTCCACGTTCATCTTCCCAAATGGATCCTCCTTCGCAGGCTTCTTCCCGTCCTTCTCCTCGTCCTTCCCGCCCTTGCCTTCAAATTCTGCGTCCTTCGCATTGCGAGCTTGTCGCTTGGCCTTGACCTGATTGCGCTGCTTGATCTTCGCGCCAGCCTTGCGCTTCTCGAGCGTATCCTTGAGATGGTTCTTCTCGAATTTGCGAGTCCGTTTCGCCGTACTTTTGGCCATTGTGAGGTTGTGCGGTTTTGCGATTGCTAATGATCCGAGATTCTTTGCTCGATACCTTTTTTTTTTTTGACGGAGGCTGTTCCGCTAGACCTCTTTAGTCTGCACAAAGGCGGTCTGAAAATTCTTGGCGTGGCAGAACGTAGCTCCACTGTTCACTTCCCCCACCAGACATTCCAGCATTGTACTCGTATCAAGAAAGTGGGATGCAGAGTGGGAAAATGTATCCATCATCGCGCCAGGCGTACGCGCCGACACCTCACAGCTATATCCCAAACACGACGCTGTCTGCAACTATAAACCTTGATGAGGTAAGACCGCAATTGGAACTCTCCAACTGTCGGCTTTAGACCGTATCTGATATGAACCTTTCGAAGGAGGTCAAGCTTGCAGAGACGAGAGCGGAGCGGGACCTCCAGGACTCTCTGGCCGAAGTCTTCAGTATTATTATCACGCTCGATGAGCTGGAGAAGGCTTACCTCAAAGATGCGATTGCCGAGGGGGATTACACGGAGATATGCGATCGCTTGTTGAAGCAGTACAAGCAGATCCTGGCGGACGAGGCTGTTGCGAGGGAGTTTGGGGACTTGGAATCTTTCAAGAGTGCTTGGGATGTATGTGTTGTATTGCAGTCGGTTTGGAGATAGTAGGAACTGATTGTTGCAGATGGAAGTACCGCGAGCAACTGAGCGAATCCGAATTGGCCTCCCCAGCACAGTTACTGCGCCGTCCATAAATACCACTACAGGCGGGAACGGGGGCTTTAATGGTACTTTGATCCTGGAAGCTACGCAGGACTTTATTACATTTCTGGATGCGCTCAAATTGGGACTGCTTGCGAAGGACCAGCTTCATCCGCTTCTCTCGGATGTTATACAGAGTGCAAATAAGGTTACGGACCAGGACTTTGAAGGGAGGAGCAAGATTGTGCAGTGGTTGATCACACTGAATCAGATGAAGGCTACGGAGGAGGTTAGTGAGGACCAGGCAAGGGAGCTGGAGCTGGATATGAATAGTGCATATCAGGGTTTCAAGGCAACATTGCAGTGAGACTTAGAGGCAGTGGTTCCTCGGGCTTTGAATTCGGGCATAGCGTCGGAGTTGTGGGATTACTGGAAGCCAAGAATAATTTCGAATCCTGCTCACAAAGTGAAGTTAAGTTTTTGAAGGCTGCTTTTTGTAGGCTGCAAGCTTTGTCATACCAAGAACGTCCAGAAGCTAGGATATACAAACTCATCCTCGAATATCCGCCTGACCTGTTCCAAGACGAACTTTTCTACCTTCCCAACATTTTTCAACACCTGTTTTCCATTCTCCCTCTGCCCAATTTCGCTTTCGACCTTGATCTCATGCAAAAGCCCTCCCATCTTCATGCCCGCAGGATGATAATTAACCTCATGGTCCTCGGCGCCAATAGCAGAAGATGCGTCTTCGGGTGAAAGAAAGCAGAAGTGTGCCCTCTTCCTGATATATGCCAGCACAGCAACCCCATCAAATGACAACCCTGTGATGTTCAGCTTGACCGGTATGCCCACGAAACTCGGCATCGGATAGTCGAGCAGAATCTCGGCTGTAAGCGACAGTTTTACGTCGCCAGAATATCGTACGCGGAACACTGTTTGAAGGTCCTCGGCTTTCGGCTCGCGAAACCTTCGGGGAGGCGAGGTGGGCTCTTCTTCGATCGATTCTTCTAGGAGCCCATCTCTCGTCTGAGGCCTCGTGGTGGAATTTGAGGTCGCTAGTGTCGAGACACTGTGTTTCTCGCGCAGAGCTCGCACCTGCCCATCAGCCGTAGGAGGTGGTGACAGGGAACTTCCGCTCGCAGTATGCCGATGTCCTCGGCTATTTGGATGAAGATTGAAGTAGTCCGGCCATCCATGTGGAAGGTGTGCACCAGCCACTGCTGCCAGAGGCGTTTGCGTGCCAGACAGTCCCGTTGCCAGCTGGGAGTGGAAGTAATGCAGATTTGACGTCCCGCCTGAGATACCCGGAGTGCTGACTCCTAGAAATGGACTTCCGATATCACCTGGGTTCTGCATGGACCTCATGCCTGGTAGTCGTGTATCGATATATGGTGGGAAACGGGTGGCTTGCGAAGGACCATTCGTCCTCTCGAGCCGGTCCATCCTACGTTGCTCTCTTGACGTTTCTTCGTCCGATCCTCTCGCCTTCCATCCCTCGTCCTGGCCAGCCCCCTCATCTTCCTCCCCGTAGTCATCTTCAGTTTCCTCGTAGAAATCAGGCAAGGGATCGCAGATGTCCTTGATCTCTAGCTCTGGGGCGATGGATCCAAACTCGAAGGCGTGCACTTTGACGCCCTTGATGAAGCGAGGCAGGGTTACTGTTTGGAATTTGTCGTGAACGAAATCTCGGATTCTTTCAGCCAAAGCAACTCCATCAGGACCCGTGGTGAGTGTCTCCCAGTTGAGTTCAATAGACATTTCTTTGGAAAAACAGATGCTGTCACCTGACGGGATGACGACGGTGCACTCCTTGATGGGGGCAGAGCATTAACACACTCACAAATACAAAAATTCAAGGCAGCTTGCCAGTCAAGATGTTTTGGGTCAATTAACCACGAGCAGCGACAGATGGGTTCCGCAATTACTGGGTAGTGGCTAAAGAGAGAAGACGGTCACGTTCTATGCCCCGATATGTTCGCTTGAGGTGGCCTTAAGCGTTAGGGCGGCAACAGATATCTGACTGCAAATTGATGTCTCTTTCTTTGACATTTATAATTACCTACCGGTATTGACATCAACATTGCGGATTATCGAAGAATTCAGCAACCACCGAATTCATCAATGCGGCCCAAGGAGAATGGAGCGAGGAACATGCGTGGGTTGCTTTTGATCCTGCTTTCCCTTCCTTTACATGGCACATAATGTCGCGTTCCATGGCCAGACAGTCCGTGGACCTCGACCGCACCTCCTCGACCCTCAGACTGGAGCCAACGGTTCCGACTCCGGTCACTTTGCTCATTGAGATCAATACTAATTTTCGGCTCTCCACTGGGCCGGTTATTCAGCATAGCAAGCTGCAAGCAGCATGCATTGGGCATTCAAGTCACTTCCCGTTTGTCATCTCGAGTGGATGCCGAAGAAGATCATGCAGAAGGCGCTGGCTCTGGTGTCCTGAGCTTGATGCTGCAGCTACACGCCCGTGTCCCACCAGGTACAGAGATTCAGCCAGTCTTCGTTGAATCTTTACAGCCTTTCTTGCCGCCGGTTACCGTTTGACAACGGGATCCTCCCGCAGCTCCGCTGTCAAAGCTGCAGTGTGACATTTCAATGTCCATAGCCTCCATAATACGGATAACGTACGATTGATTACTACCTTTCTCCTCAATATCAAATTTATGTCACACAGCGACATCTCCTACCGGCCCTTCAAGGTGACCAATCAGTCTTACAGACGAAGCCGGGCCTTTGCCTTCCTGGGGGAAAAGACCAGTCGGAGAGCTCTGGCTGCTGGCTCTTCCTATCCCGACCAATTGCTCTTCGCTCTGTGGCTTCCCCACCATTGACCAACGTCGTGATGCCTTGGGCAGAGACAAATTGGAGCACGGCGAGCACGATGGACCGCGTCTATGCTTCCTCCTTATACTATCTAGTCATCTACAGACGAAGTTGAGATTGGAAAGATCATTGCTTCCAAACGAAAAAAGCTATCTGCCCCCTTCAATGTCACCTGACACGACAGCGACGCATGCAGAATGCAATAGCAAGGATAGAGGGCCCATCTCGAGCTGACCAGCGTTGGGACTTATTCATTCCAATGCAGAATACCAAAGAATCAAGATTTCCAAGAGCAGAATCAACAGCATGGTCAGAGTGCGCTATGTTGTTGCAATCGCATGACTGAGTCTTCTGTGCAATGCCTAGCCTCAACCAAGGCTGCTTGCTGGCTTGTGCGGCGCGGATGAAGCCGTAGACATTCTGCAGTCTAGCGTCTCAGCGATGCCGAGGCATGCTGGGGAGGATTGCGCGGCTTCCCGTGTGCTTCTGCAACCCCAGGATCGAAACATTCGGCATATCCGCAGCCGCAATGTGCTATCCACCATGAAGATGAAAAGCACGCGCCGAATGTGTCTCCTAGGAATCGACGTTGACAGAGGTGATATTTCTGACTGAACCTAGGGAAAATGCTACGCATGAGCAAGGGTTCCACCGCCCCCATTACTCCCCCAGCAGAATTCCGACCCCAAAACTCCGAGCGCGATGTGTGCGCACGCCTGCTTTCTTGAGGCCTTCAGATGAGCGCGAGACGGCTCCCCTGCTGTCTGCTTTCTACCTAATACCGCCCTGCCCTTCAATACATCCAGCGCCTCGGATACTCACATCTTACTTAGTAGGAGCAAACCCAGAAAAGCATCAAAAGCCTGGCGCAAAGGGTGTAGGCTGAACAATTGCCAGACTGGAAGAGATTAGAGTCTGGCTCTCTTGTCTCACTTGATAGCAAGGACTTACCGCTTAACACCCATGTTCATCTTCAGAACAGGTGTAATCCAGCTGTTCTGACGATACTATGACTTCACAGACTCTCGTTTTATCTGCGCGCTTTTTCGCGCACACAACGAATTGGTCGATGTAGCGACCACAGTTGTAGAACTTTCTGTATATGTTACACATCTTCTTGAGTCTGCGAAGATAGTGCACCGCAAAAAAGCGTGGCCCAAACTTTGCGAGTTGGAGTTATGGACTTGAGTCCAGACCTAGATACTACCATCACGGATTAACTCTGTTCGCTGACAAGGTAGCCTATGACAGGATGTACGTGACTTACTAGGGAGTATCTTGATATCTTGATACCCTCTCTTTTATGGGGCGGGGGGAAGTTCTGAGTTCGAGAGGATGAGGCAGATTTCTGATGCGGAACTGGGGGACTGGACGGCAACCTCGATGCAATGATGGTGGTCGAGTTTGACAATGCCCAAGATCAACAGCGCCGGCAAGTTCCTTTATAAAGCGTCACACCATTCCGAGGGAGTGGTTCCGTCTGTTCAATTAGATTGAGCGGTCGTTGTTTGCCATCCCCGTTGGCATGTATGAACACGGCAACACTGAAGAGGCCCGATATATCTGCCAACGGCCTACGTGCGTCCTGTTGGTGATGGTCGTGGCCGTCGTTTGCGTCCCAAAGGATGGATGGACAGATGTGATGAGTTTCAGTTGGAGTAAGTATACTTGCGACCTAAAAAAAACAATCATACAAGGCTTGCCCGATCTGCCCTGGCCGCCACATGCTTCCGTCATCCGAGCCAGAAGGAGAGCACGCGTTGGCTAGAAGCGAGGGGGCCATCCATGATTGAGGCGTGAGTGCAAGGAACATCCTCACTGCTGACAAGGTTTGGTTTGCAGGACGCCAATAGCAGTGCAAAACCTCACATGAAAAGTCCGAGATTATCGGTGCTGCAGAATGAGCTGGAGGATGGATGGTGGAGGGTGGAGGATAGAGGATAGAGGGAGCTCCACTGCCAATCCCCGGGCGGCAGAGCAGGTTCGCGGGTTGCAGGAGCCAAGAAGTCTCTGATGGTCCTGATGGCAAGCTCACCCAAGCTCCGAAGGCTAAAGAAAGCCTAGAGAAGCTGTGCTGTGTTGTGCTGGCTGTTGGGCGCAAATTTCACGACTGCACTACTGTTACTTCTCGAGCTAAAGCGGAGGACTCGAACCTTTTTTTTCTTTCTATTTTTTCTTTCTTTCTTTCTTATCCTCCCTTTGTTTATTCTTGTTTTTTTTTTGCTGGTGAGTGTGCTGGCCAAGGATATCAGCACAAGTGTACAACGGCTTCGGATTGATAAACATGGCGGCCTTCCGATTCGAGGAGCGGCTCACAGCATACGGCTCTGTTCGCAGGGAGTCATGCGCGGCCTGACGCTTCAGAGCGTTGCTTTCGAGAGTCTCGAATTTTATCTCGGGCTCTACGTCTATGTCTTTGTTCTCGAATCCTTCTTTCATTGATTCCTTCATTCTGCAGTGGCGGATTGTTTGGCTACAAAGCTCCCGGCCTGCGGGCAGACAGATACGATATGCATCGCAGAAAGCCAGCCAGTCGTGAGACGCAGGCTGTTCGTTGGGGGTTGGTTGCCTCGCCATTTCCCGACGTCGATTGCCACCCCTACCCTACAGTTTTTGAATTGGAGCCCGTGCGACGACCGATCAGTCACATCTCGTCGGCTTGATTCGGCGTGTGCACTGGAGAATTCGGCTAAGCAGCCGGCCGGCAAGACGTTGTTAATCTAGGTACTGCACTCGACCTCTGACTGCGCTGCGCTTCAATCAATGGCCCCTTCCGTGCAAGGATATGATATGATCTCTCTGCACAATATTCGAAGGTTCGATAGCTTGCACAAACAAAAATAAAACATTTCGTCCTCATCGATCCGGGATGCGGTTCTGGCTTTTGAGGTGGATGCTTAGCTGAGATGAACGCTGTGCCGAGGAATACTATCAATCGGGCTCCGGATCAGTCCTCAAAGAGGCCATCGAGGACGAGTTGGAACTCGACGACTGATAATGGAATGCAGCAACAAGAAAAGGCTGTTTATGCCACAGTGTGGAGCTCCCGCATGAGTACCGGTATGACCCGCGGGATCCACCTCGGCCTTCTACTTCTCTCGCGCCTCGATCAAGAGGGAAGACCCAATTTTG